CGCGGCCCCCCGCGGGAGCCGAGCGGCGGCCGGGGCCTCGGGCTTGGCGCAGCTCGTAACGCCGTGCAGGGATGTCCCGTTTCTCGCAACGTTTAACCCCGTCCAGCGTGGGGGAGCTGAGCCTTCGGCCCCGGCGGCCTCTGCGCCCGGGGTGCTCCCGCCGGCGGGCACGGCAAGGATGCTTCGCCGAGGGATGCGGGGACCCAAATCCAGCTGCCCGAAGGGTCCCGGGGTGGGGGGAGAGGCTCCAGTCCCTGTCTCGGCCCTCTCCTCTGCCCCCGCCCAAGGAAAATGCTTCTGAAAATTTTCTTCTGCCAAAAGTGGGAGCGAGTCCCAGGACACGAGGTGGGCAACAGCTTTCGGGTCTCTACAAGGCTCCTACACTCAATACGAGCCAGCGACACAGGGCCACGTCCTGCCCCAGGCACCCGCCGGAGCCCAGCGAGATGTGGCCCCATCCAACGGTGTCCCTGCGGCCACCACGCTCCCTCCCGCCGGGAAGGACGGGCAGGAGTCGAGCAAGTGTAAACAGTTGGGTAATGCTTCCTCTTGGACAGCCGCTCGCGATCCTGCCGGCAATATTTAGCAAACACCAGCGTCTTTGTTCCCCACCCTCCTGACGGCACTGTTGGCCATAAACACCCCGAGCGTGCGGGACGCTGCCTGTCCTTTTCCCCTTGCTGCTGCGGCGACGCGCAGGTGAGCAAGGGGTGCAGTGACACCAGGGAGGGTGGCACAGGGCCATGAAGTCCCCAGGTAGAGCCATTTCTTGTACCACCCTGAATTGTACCAGCAAAGCACTCACTGGGCGGCAGGGGAGCGGGGGGAGCATCATTTCCAGGGCTTCCATGCTTCATCCCCCTTGGATGCCAGAGGACAGCTTTCCCCCTGCTTTTGGACTTGTCAACCCACATAAATTTGCTGAAGAGCCGCTCTGCCAGCAGATCTGTGCCCCTAAGCCTCCTGGGGCCATGCCGGCCACATGCAGCATCTAGCCCAGCCTTCCCAAATCAGGGCGAGGGACTCGCAGCATCCCCATACTGTTGGATCTGCTGATGCTTTGATCCAAACCCAGCTGCCCTGGGGAGGCTCAGCCACGCAGCTCCCCGTGGCCCCAAGCTGCCGAAGGGCAGGCGGAGGTCACAGCTCCCGCCGGCGCTGCCGTCTCTGCGTGTTGCTGCAGGCTGCGGAAAGCCGCTGCGTTGCCCCTGTCGTGGTGACAAACCAGGCTTAGCTCCATCAGCATGACTTGAAACGAACGCTTTGTATTCAGAGGGAGTTTGGGGATGGCGGACGCCGGCATGCAAAGCCACCCTCAGTGCTGTGGCTGTTGACACCGACCTCGTGGAGAGAGAAAATGTTGCCCAAAGCCACCACCTCGAGCGGCCCTCAGGAAGCCACAGCCATCACCAGGGTTTTGGCTCAGCCGAGTCCTCCCTCTGCCCCTGCCAGCGCTGGAAGCTGGTGCTCATGCAGGAGATGGGGAACAGCATGGTCTATCCCCCCCATCACCCCTCTTCCAACCTGAAGACATGAAGGCTGCCTGCTACCGGACTCTCAGGATCTAATTTTAATTCCAGGGCAGCTTTGATAAGAGGGAAAAAAGCTTTGTGGACATGTCTGCCTCGTAAAGCCTACCTGGGGTGAATACATCGTTACCTACCTAAACGCTGATCCTGTTTCAAGCAGCAAAGCTAATCTTTTCCCTTCCGAAGGACATTATTTAGCCCTGATCCTGCCCAGCCCAGCGTTCACACTTATCTGTGCCCACCCAAGGGGCTCTGGCGAGGGGGGCCTTGCTGCTGGCTGTCTCCTCTGCTGCAGAAATTTGGGGGTCAGGAGACAGTGATGCTCCCCTGGGGTTTTGCAGGATAGCAGCCTCCCATGCGGCTGGGTGGGCGCAAAGGGCGCAGCATGGCACGGGGGACGGGCAGGAGCCTGGGGACTCCTCCATGCTGCAGGCGCTGCACATGCGGGGGGCAGCCCCAGCCCCTCTCTTCCAGGCTGCGATGTCTGCATCCCCTCCACGAGATGGGTCCATGCCAAGTGGCCATTCTCCCCAGGAAATCAGTTTTCAGGCTCAAAAAGGCAGTCGCTATCCTCAAGCAGAGTGTCTGGCCCCTCTCGGAGCCCATAATAGAGGTCCTCCTCCTCTCCAGTGCCTTTGCGGGGGGAACTGGGGTGCTCTCCCCTCACTGGGGAGCTGGTCGGGGTGCAGCCAGAGCAGGATGGCGGGAGGGCTCGGCCCTGTGGCACTGGGCTGCCGGGCACAGAGCCCTCCAGCGACGGCGTGTCCATGTCCTCCAGGAGGGATGCCAGTGGTGCGTCCCCTGGGGCCAGCCGCGGGGGGCTGCAGGAACAGAGAGGGCAGGGCTGGGGTTACACTAAACACAGCTGGGCTGGAGCTGGGGTTTCCCCTGGAACCTGCAGCTGCTGGGCTCAGCGTTGCTCAGCCAGCGTCCCAGCATCACCAGTGCCCTGGCTGGGTGGCTGGGGCACCCTGGGAGGGTCCTTTCTCAGCTCCCAGTGCCTGCCTTTACGGGGACAACTGTCCTGCCAGGTTCCCTCTCCTGCTCATGGGACAAAGTAGTGGCTGCCCTTGCACGCTGTGCCTGCATCCTGGGGAGAATGCAGAGCGCCTCGTCCCAGCTGTAGCTGCATTTTGGCAGAAGGGGTGCCTGAGTCCTACACCCCAAGGCTGCACGGTGACTCCCATTGCCTGCAAAGCACTTTTGAGATCTCCTGGACCAGTGCATGGGCATCATACAGGGCATCTGGTTTGAGGGACACATACTGAGTGTCTCATTTCTATCAAAGTCTGACCAGGAACTTGGGATTTCTTCTGGTGAGAGACATCGCTCATATTTATAAAATGAAATAAAGGCAAAATGCAAATCACAACCAAAGGCAATCCAGATTTCCTCCTGATTTCACCCTGGTAAATAATTTGGTACTGAGAGACCGCATGGGCTGAGACACTGTCTGGGCTCCAGAGGGGCGGCAGAATCTGGTGGTTGGTGCTGTGAGAGCAGCAAAGACCCCTCTGCCCCCTCTCCCTCCCCCCACACTGGGGGTCTGACCCACCCCTGGTTTCACCCCGCATCCCACCAGTCCCACCCCGACCCTGCGGGCCTCACATACCAGCTGCCTGCTGCCGTTTCCAGCCGAGGCACCAGCTCTCCGTGGGGGTCTCCAGCACCCCCCAGCTCCCGGTGGACCTCTGCTTTCGCCTGCACTGCCGGCTGGGAGCAGCTGCGGGGTCTGGGCTGGACCACAGGTGGGAGTGGAGCCGAGCCCACCGCCTGCCTCTGGATCTGCTCATAGGATGGCAGGCTTTTCTCGTAGGTGCTGGTGGCCTCTTGGTTGCGGCAGGGTACGATCAAGCTGCGGGAAAAGGAGGAACAGGGTGCTGAGCAGGACCTGGACCCCTGCGGAGCCAGGAGATGCTCGGGGACACGCACACAGGACTCCACCAGGTGCTTTAGAGGCCACTGAGGCCACACCACTGCCCAATCCAGCAGCAGAGCCAGAGGGTCCTTGCAGAGTGATGCCCGCAGGAACGCAGCTGGATGCTTTGCACCCTCCAGCATCGCTCCGGCTCCGGCCCCGGGGGGGCTCAGCCAGCCCTTGCCTTCCCCACCCCGGCCCCTGCTTGTCATTTTTTGCTGCAATAGGTGCAGTTGTCCCCATTGTGCTCAGACACTGCTCTTGTCCCCGGAGGCACACAGATAACCATGTGTAGAGATGAAAACACCCGCCAAAAGGAAAACGGCCGCTGGGGCCAAGTACTGGGACCTACCAAGTGTCCCTCTCTGGCAGCACGATGGGTTTGTGGTCCAGGAACCGCTCAGCCTCAAGGTCCACAGGAACAAATGTTATCTGGGGGGAAAAGAAATGCAGAACCCAGGGCGCTGCGCTGGGCATCACGGGGAGCCTCGGCCCTCATTAGTGGTAAAAAGTCCAGGGTGTCCCTTCAGCTGGGGTTTTAGTCTTTTCCCAGCACATTTGGATGTCTTGCTTGGAAATGGGCTTTTTGGGGGAAATCAATAAGGGATTGAATGAACTCAGCGCTGCCTCACTCCCAGCACCTTGTCTTCAGCAGGGTCATGTGTGTCCCTGAGCCCAGGGTGGGTCCCAGGGCCCACGGGGGAGGTCGGTGGCCAGGGACAACAGCGAGGGTGCCCTGTCATTGAGCTCCGAGCACAGTGACAAAGCCACATCTCCCTCCTCACCAGGGTTGGAGTAAGCTTTGGGGGAGCTGGAGTAAGCTTCACCCCAGTCCCAGGGGACTCGACTGGTCCCAGGGGTCCCAGCTAGTCCCAGGTCCTGGGGTCCCATGCACCACCCCACATTTCGGTGTGCAGCCAAGCTGTTGATGGGCCATCCTGCAGCACTGAGATCAACCTCACAGCCACCCTGTCCTTGGAAAAAAGACTTTTCTACCAGCTCTGTTTCCCAGAGCAGGGATGCGTGGCCGCCCTCCCGTGCTGGCGGTGCCCTCTGCCAAGGAGACCGGCAAGTGAGGGCTGTGCTCGGGGGGGCTGAGCCCCTCTGGACCTCCATGGCCATGACAACCCCTTCTTCTGAAGCCCTGGGAGCCTGACGAGCCACTGGGCCCCGTGGGTGCAAGGAAGGGGCTGGTTTGGGGGGATTTGCATGGGATGAACATGAGCTGATTTCCTTGGGCTTATTCCCCACTACCTGCTTGGCAAAACCCCAGGCTCGGGAAGGTGCAGGGGCACAGTGGGGCGAGGAAGTGGGGCCGCATCCTGCAGGCATCGGTGGGGAGGTGTAGCAGGGTGAGAGCCCCCCCACACCAAGACTTCTCCCTTCAAATCTCCCCAGTTGGCTTCCCCCTGGGACCTGCCGCAACCCCACCCTATGGATGGGGAAACTGAGGCACAGCCCAAGGCTACACATTCGCAGTATCGAAGGAGCTGAAGCCCCCCAAAACCCAGCTGAGCCCTCAAGCCCCTGGAGATGTGCAGTGGCGGGAAGGACCCTACCTTTGGGTAGCACTGGCACATGCTCCAGGTGATGCCCACGGCTACGAGCAGGACGCCCAGGGCGCAGAAGGTGATGTAGATCTGGGGTTTTTCCACACTCATGATGAACATTCCCGTCATCACCAGGAAGAAACCCAGCATGATGAATCCATAGCGAAAGGTCTTCTCGGCCATGGGCGCTGGGTGGGAGAGGCAGGGGAGGAGAGATGCCGGTAAGCCCGTTTACCTGCGGCCGCTGCCCGCTGAGCACACCTCCAGGGTAAGGCAAGGAGTGGCTTCTTTCTCTGGAGGCTGCCAGAGGCTGAGGATCAGCTGCATGTTGAGCCTGGTCCTGCCCAGGGCTGAGCCAGCCAGTTTTTAATGGGTTTGTAATGAATGCAAACACCAACCCACCGTTCACACTCCAGTGAAGCCGCCTGGCACGTGTCCGGGTAACCTTCCCTGCAGGCACGCGCGGCCAGACCCCACGCCTCGGGAAGGGACAGGGAGGGAGAGGGGGCACGGCGGCAGAGACGGGGACCCGGAGAGCAGTTGGTCCCGACGGGACTTTCCCAGCCCTGGGGCTGGAGCTGGACTTGGCCGTAAATCGGAGCTGGCAGAGCCCCAAAATAAGGGGGACGCCAGGGCGCAGCATGTTTTCAAGGGCTGCGGGGCTGCAGCAGGGGAGGAGGGAGTGCTCCGGGGCCTTTTTGGAGGCCAGTGTGTTGGGAATAGTCCCTGCCTTGCTCCGGCTGAGTGCTGGGGAACCACCGGTGGGGCTACCTCGGTGGGGCAGCAACCAAGGGAGCGAAGGAGGGGCTAAAGCCAGGGGAGGATGGAGCAGGGTCGGTTCACCCAGGGGAGCAAGGACATAGCGCCCATGTGCCCTGTGTTTGCTTGAGATGGAGCAGGGGTGTTAAAAGGTGTCCCCTTCCCACCACACAAACAGACAGACAGCAGCAGTGGCTTTAATTAGCCTTCAGTTTGTTCCCTGGCTTGCCTGCCCATGTGGGAAAGCATGTATCTATCTGGCTTATGAAAAATACTATATTATATTATAAATAATATGTTATGTTTGGCTGTGGCTCTGCAGCCACTCTGCAGCCCTGCAGGTCTGCAGGGGGCCCAGGGCAGCCCGTTATTTTGGTGGGATGGAGCAACTGGCAGCAGCCCCCGATGAAGTTGGCATTTCCTCTGGGCAAGGCTGCAAACCCGTCCTTGGTGGGCAGGGAGGGGGGTGAGCCGCTCAGGGTGTCTTTTTATAGGATACTGCCTGAAATGCCAAGTGCACTTGGATGCCCTGAATGCACGTACGAGCCACTGAGCATCTCTTAAAGCAAATGAAGTGAGGCGTGGGAGTCACTATGCGGGGAAAGCAAGGTGGAAGGGATGGAGATATGGCTGGAAGGGGCATTGAAAAGGCAGGGGAGCGAATGGAGCTGTTTTTTTCTACGGCCAGATTCCTCGTTCTTTGCTGCAGCTTTTATTATATAGCTCTTGCTTTGAGTGGGCCTGATACGAGCTTCCCAGGGTTGGTCAGAGCAGAGAATGCAAAGCATCTGCAACCAGCAGTGGTTTTATTAAAAATACGAAGGCTTTCAAACATGCCAGTTACCCCCGCTGCTCCGAACGCACCACCCCCAGGACCCGCCATCCCGACAGCCCCAGATTGCTCAGAAAGCCAGACGGACCCCGCCGCCTTCCCCCTCCTCACCCACCCTCCTCTCACCCTGGCAATGGAAGGGGCTCGGTTTAAAGCCAAGGGACCGGGCAGCCACCCGCAAAGTCCCGTCCCCCTGCCGCCATCAGCTCAGACCCCCCGGATGCTGATGTTTTCATAGCTGGGGGGAGGCGTTGCCTGCGGCTCCCCGGGGCCCTGGGTCTCCAGCCAGGATGGGCTGGGGCGGAACAAGGCGCTGTCAGAGGAGCTGCGCCGGCGGCCGCCCTGCCAGCTCTCGTCCTCCTCCAGGTAGCGGTACAAGGGTGGCGTGAGCTCCTCCTTCCTCCCCGGGGGCTGGACGTAGGCTGGGGTGCAGTGGGCAGGTCTGCAGGTCAGGGCTTCTTCATAGGTGGGGATGGCACTGGTGTCCCAGTTGCTGCAAGGAGAAGAAGAAGAAACCCAGCAGCACAGCCCGTCAACCGGAGCATCCCAGCACCCAACAACTGGAGCACCCCAGCATTTGTGAACTGGACCATCCCAGTGCCCCATCAACTCCATCAGCTGGAGCATCCCTGAGCATGATGGACACATGCGCTGTGGACAGCACATGGGCAGGTTTTGCATGCCCAGAGCCAAGGGAAGACCATATCAGCTGCTTCCCAGCACCAGGAGGGTGGGGAGCCATGCAGGAGGAAGGGCACCATCCATCAGACCTTGCAACAAGGCAACGCCGCCCCGTTCCCACTGAGTTTATTAACCCCTCACCCAAGAAGAGGAAGGGCAGCCTGGCAGGGCAACCTCAAAGAGCTGCCCCCTCCAGCGTTAGGAGCTACAACTGTAGGTGTGGCTGACCACAAAGCAGCAGAGGTGCTGGCTCTTGAGACATCTGCCCCCTGTTCTGCACCGCGCTGCTTCCCACGGGCAGGAGAGCATCCTCATCATCTGCCTAACCCCAAAGTCACCCCCAAATCACAGAGGCTGCCGGCAGCTGAGTGAGCGGTTTGGCACAAGCAGCCGGGCGAGAGCCAGGCATCCCAGTTCAATGTGGTCACACCCCACTCTTGCGCCCGCTGGTGCCTTCCGTGCACCGGCCAAGCCTGGTGCCACTTCCAGCAGCACTTCGCTGAGCAAACACAGCTTGTGTACAGGGAAAACCTCCGCCCAACCTTTGCCCTGTGCACAGCCCCGCTCGGCACCCTACGAAACGGTGTGGCCCCAGAGACGGGGAGGCTTTGAAAGCAACCCACCATCCGCTTGCTTTTGTAGATGAAAACCCAGTGAGGCGTGCTCAGGGAGGCTGCAGGCATTGGAGGGGCACACCTGGTCCAAAGAGAAAGCTGCGATGCTCTGCAGGGATGCCTCCATCCCAAACTCAGCAGGCCCCTGTCCCTGACCTGCCACCCAGGGCATCCATGCCATGGCTTTTGCCAAACAGCCTCAGCTTGCAAAGGGATGCTGCCTTGGAAATGCGGAGAGGGCAGTTTCTCCCAGCACAGGATGTCACGCTGCCAACCCTCTGCAGAGCGGCACTTTCTGCTTTGGAGGGCTTTGCTGTGTGAATGCCAGCGCAGCTGGGGCTGCAGGAGCTGCTGCAGCACGAGCAATGCTGGGGCAATGCCTTCCCGTCCAGCACGGGAGCCGGGAGCTCAGGGAAGGGGATATTCCCCACGGGGGACACTCCCCACGGGGGACACAGTAAAGCCCTCCATGGGAGGAGGAAAACCTCCCAGACTGCTCATACCAGCTTACGATCTCACCCCCAGATGGGCACTGAAACCCCAAAGAACCAGGAACGTGCCTCCTGCCCCAACTGAATTTTTATGGTTTTATGTTCTTAAGAGTTTCTTTTAGTGCTGCTTTTCCCCAGAGTCCAATTTATGCTGGAGCCAAGATCTTTGCTGTGACCCCATAAAACAGCACCGGGAAGGGCCAGCTGGCTCAGCTTCCAAAGCAGTCTCCGGAAAAAAACCCTTTTGATCAAAAGAAGTGGGAATGAATCTCAGGCTCACACAGGAAGAGTCTGGGGACCCAACAAGCAGCAGTGGTGTTTGGGGGAGTGAGGGGTCCTCCCACACCCCAAAACAGGCTTCATAGAGGGACCCTCCACCTGCACTCCCATCTCAGTGCCAACTCGGGGATTATTTTCCTTCTTTTTTTCTTTTAACTCCCTTTTAACATAGATTTTGCTTCCATTAAAGATGGCAGAAACCCCATCATCCTTACAGGGCACTGCAGCCCTGTGGCACCGAGGAAGGTTTCAACAGCTGGAGGTCTGGATGACCCCCCCCCCTCACAAATCCAGGTGCTCTGTCAGAAAACCAATGCAGTCTTCTGCTTGGTGACTGCTAAGATGTCTGCCTCGGCTGGTGACGGCCCACAGGGCAAGGACAGCTGTCTGTGGCTGAGCCAGCCACGGGAGCAGCCAGCGTGGGCCCAGAGGGTGCCTGCAGGGAGGGGAGGGTGCAGGGGCTCGGGCAAGGGTTGACACTAATGAGCAAGAGCTTCTGCTCAGGGAGCAGAAGGAGAGCACAGAACAGGGTCTGGGGGCAGTGGCCGGCAGCACGGTGGCATTACTGCTCATTTGAGCTTGCCCATGAGCAAGCCTCAGAGCAGGCTTAGGTACGTGGCCATGCCGGGACAGTCAAACCCACCCTCGTCTTCTTCCCACCCAAGCACCGCACGAGGACGTAGCACCCACCTGCAGTTCCACTTCTCCAGAGGCTCCGCGGTGAAGTACTGCAGGTCCCTGGGGAAATGGTACTGGTAGCGGCGAGAGACTACCCTGGCGTTGGCTTTCATAGACCAGAGGAGCCCAAAGAGGAGGAGGATGCCGCCGATACCACAGCAGAAGAAGCTGACGGAGCGGAGCAGGGCGCTGGAGGAGGAGGAGGAGCTGGGAACTGCCTCGGCTTCCTGGGGAGGCAGGAGGCGAGCCCCGCTGCTGGCCGGGGTGCCCACCTCCCCGTCGCTCCACCAGGCAAAGCACAGCGTCCCTGTCACCAGTAGCACGGCCCCAGTGATGGTCATGCCGTAGCGGAAAGAGGCAGCTGCCATCCTTCACAAGGTTTTAGGAGGGGAGAAGAGTGAGACAGGGCATGAGAGAGCCCACGTCCTGCAAGACAAGAAAGGGACTGGGTTCAAGAGGGACGAGGTCACAGAAAAAGACCTACCAGAGGAGAAAACTACTGAGCTAGGACCTCTCTGGGGGTTGCACACTCTTCAGCTACTTATTATTGACCATCAAAAGGGGCATTTCCACCATCTCAGGTGGGAAGCCCTTGTGCAGAGCAAAGTCAGCCGCCAGTTCGGACCCATAAATGTCCCAACAGCCTTGTAAATGCATCCTCATTTTCAAGAAATGACCCAGTGCTCCCATGGAGGCAGGCTGGAAACCCCAGCCAGGGGAGCTACGGAGGCGGCTCTGGGGACTCGCATAGCTCTTGCCTTTGGGTTTTATTCCAGACTTCCTCCCAAGCTCAGAGGAATGCCAGCTGGGTTTCTGATCAAAGCAAGGCTTATGGAAGAGGCTAGGGAGAGGGACATAAATTTAAGATGTCATCATTTCTGAATTACCAGTGCACATGTTTTCTCCTCTGAAACTGGAGGTAAATCAGTCCTGCAGTGACAGTAGGTGTCTGGCATCACTGCTCGAAAGCCCGCAGCCCAGGGGATTTCGGGGCTGCGCTGCCTTTTGCTTTCTCAGGGAAAAGGGCCAAGTACCATCTCTGAAAGTCACAGAGATGCTATTTCAGGGTAAAATAAATCCTCAGATGCTGGCAACCCAGGGTACCTCATCTAGGGATGGCTCCCGAGGCACTGAGTGAGCGGAGACCCCAAAGAGCTTTCCCGTGACTGACGGAGGCCACAATAGCTGCACTCCCCACCATGACCAAGCTCGGAGCAAGGACGGGAGTGGGAATCACTCCATACCTCTGTTAAAAGTCAGGAATGTGCTGGATACCAGGTAAACCCTCAGAGAGGCTGAAGTAGGTGTTTCTGCTATGCTGGTCAGGGGGTTTGAAGCAACAGACCACAGAGATCTTTGAGGCTCTTGCTGACCCAGCTATGATGTTCGAGACTCCAGAAGCACAGAGGGGCTTCAGTTTATTTTGAAGGTGGGGTAAATACCCTGACGCTGCAAGAATCTGCTCAATCTTCATCCAAACGAGCTTTTGCACATCAAATCTTGCTCCCCTGGGTCAGCTCCAGCACACACCTTCTCAGCTCCCCAGCACGATCGATCCCGCAGGTGTTATCACCACCTTCACTGTCCCTATCAGGGTGGCTTGGGGTTGGTTTGACAACCAAAGAGATGAGGCAGTGCCACATGTTCCTGCTTGGTGGCCCTTCTCAGCTCAATGTCACTTGCTGAGAGCAACCGTCGTTCCCCAGCGCAGGAAAACTTGGGGAGCGGGAGCTGGTTTCTGATCTCTGGGGCTCTCGCTCCCCTGTGCTTTCTCCAGAAAACAAGCAGCATCTGCTCTCTGGGCTTGGGGTCCCCAGCCCCCACTAACCAAACAGCACCAGCGACCGGGGAAGCGGAGAGGTCCCACCACAACGCCTCTGGCCTTGCTCACTGACCAGCAAGAAGATGCCGGTTCAGCTCCCACTTCTTGACAGACAAAAATGTTTGGACCGTGTGGGATACAGTCTTTGATGACTCCTCTGCAAGGGCTTCTCATGGTGGCAGTGCCAGCGGGGAGCCTGCACATTGGGGGCTGTCTGGGACGGAGATGGGGCTCAAGCGCAGAGGTGGGTGAAGAACTGGGTGACCCATGCTCAGCACCCACCTCTGCCTTCATCACTTTGCCTGTATGTCAGTAAAATGAAGATAATCTGGTGGCTTTGGTCTCCACTCCTCCAGGCAGGGCTCTCCTCCTACAGCGGGGACTCAAATTGTACCCTGAGATCTGGAAGTGCCAAGCCAGACCTAAGGAGGGAGCAGAAGTCCAGCACAGGCTCCGTGTGATCAAGGGCGGGTGGAATTACATTATTTCAAGCCATTATTTATCAGATGGGCCCACTAAATGGAAAGCCAAATTACTTTGTAGTGAAAGAAACGCCATCTGATCTAATCTACATTTAATTAAGAAATCCAATGAGAAGTGGGATTTAGGAAACCTGCAGGAAGGCTGCAGGACTGGGAGCCCCAACAACATGTTCCAGCTCTCACCCCACGGTCACAAGCCCGAATCGCCACCTGGGCTGGCGGTGGCCGGTGGTCCCCACCAGCAGCCGCAGCCACCCGCCAGGAAGGAGGTGGTGTTTCTGGGCTGAGAGGAGGCAGAGCTTCCCCCTGTCATGAGGGGACATGTTTAGATGCTCCCTCCTGAATGGCAGGGGCTTGGCTGAGACAAAGGGACTGTTAGAGACGGGCTAGAGATGCTATTAGATGCTGTTAGGGATCAGCGTCCTCCAACTCGGCACCGATCACAAGCAGGACACAGCAGACAAGCTGGGCTCGCGCTGCCTTGCAGCAGCAGATGCTCAGGAGAGCGCAAGGACCCTACTGACCCGTGAATCCAGCTCCTTTTGAAAGCATTGCATTTACCTGGAAAATTTCAGCCAATATTATTTGAAAAAAAAACCCACACTCAAAACACCCTACAGCAAAGCTCTCGATCCAACTGCATGGAAATTACAGGTCGCTCCACACTGAAAGCCTGGACCGAAACAGCACCAAGAAGCTGAAATGTTCAGCTCCTGCAGTCAACTCTCTCCTCATTTTGGGGTCAGCCTGGTGAGCTTTGGGAGATGCTGCGATTCCCCTGGTGAGCTTTGGGAGATGCTGTGATTCCCCTGGTGAGGTTTGGGAGATGCTGCGATTTCCCTGCCTGGGTACAGGGAATTTTGCAGCCCCCAGCGCTGCGCACATCTGGGAGCACTGGCAGCGAGGGGGAGGCGGACGTGGAGGGCAGGCGGAGAGCCTCTGGGAGGCGACGGATTGACAGCTCGAGAGAATAAACTCTTCTCTCTTGACAAAACCAGTGCAGCGCGGGGAGCAATGCTAAAAGCTCCTCCAGCCTACCCGGCACGTGCTCCCGCAGCGCGTGTGCGGGGGTGGCTCCTCCGCGCTGGGTGACATTGCCATCGCACCGTCCCCTTGCCAAACCCCGTCTTGGGCTGGAACAGCTCTCCTGAGCCTCTTTAAAAGACCCACGATGTTTTTCTCTGCACACCAGTCGCTGGAAGAAGAGGCCGAAGGAGCAGGGGCAGGAAGCGAGGCGTGATGCCGGGGCAGGACCTGAGTCCCTGCTGCCCAAGCCTGCTCCCGGCTCCGCTCCTGGGGCACTCAGCATCCCACACATCAGGTCTCCCACTGAGCATTTCCAGTGCAGGCTTCCACGGAGGGGCTGCCCCTCCGAAGACGGCAATGGCTGGCTCCCAAACACCCATCTCCTCCAGCCAGCCACCCTGACATTTTGTTCTGCCCTGTCTCCTCCTTTGACCTGCTCTGAAATAGTCTTCCCAGGGGAAGAGATTTGCCACTCGCATGGGCAGA